ATTTCTGTAATTGTGCCATCCAACACGCATCGGGTGAGTTGTTTGCATGATTCGAGACCATCTTGTATGTCATTTCAGAGCTGGAACATGTGTCATTGTATGCCATATTTCATCCTTGTCATGCTTTGGTAGAGTTACACTTTGTTCCTTAGGTTTGGTCCCTCGTATTTGTACATGTTTGCATGTACCTTGTTGCCCCATTTTCATCATATTGGCCACTGATTTGGGTGCGGCTGAGGTTCATCCATCTTGGTTTAAGTCCATCTTGCATTGTGTATGCCATATAATCCATGTTATCGCATGTTCGATTATTGCATTGCATATGCCTCGTTCATAACATTGCGTATGTTAGTGCATTGTGTATGCATGCCATATAATCCACGTGCATTGAGTATGCCCTTGATTAGTCCATAGCATTGTGTATGCTAGTTGCATGCTTGCATGTCATCCTTTGCATGTTTGCATCACTTAGTCGCATTACATGTAGGATTGCATACTAGAGTTGCATTTGTACATGTCATGCCATTCTACTTGTTGCATTGTGTTTGAAATAGGAGTTAGTCTAAACACGGGAAACGAGGAATGTTTCATACTCCAAGTGATGAAACGTGCCTCGATTCCCAGTCGCCGACACTCTTGACCATCCATGATGGAGTTGTTGGTATTAGTTGTTTATATGTGCATTCATGTCCCATTGAGTCGTGCAATTCGGCTCATCGGCCATCATGCATCGAGATGCGTGATTGGTGGCCCGAGGATCGAGAACTACACTCCCTAAAGCTTATGCAATGATGGGAAGAGTTGTCGTGCACACATGTGTTGCAAATTCCTTGCTTTCTCTCTCTCTTTGTCTTTGTTGTAGAAAATTCAGAAATCGGAGGCAGAAACTGGTCAGTCGACCAGCTTTTCTGGTAGGCCGACCACCCCTTTTGGTTTCTCCCATAGAAGGTGGTCGGCAGGTGGTCTCCTATGCCCATAAACTGGTCGGCAGCCTTCCCACAAATTCCCAGGGTGGAGTTTCAGCCTTCTGGAGCTTTGTGCAAGTTTCTAAGATCAATTGCAAACAAAGGCGAGTTGGGACATCGCGATGGATTTCCCGACAAGGCGACTCGAGCATGCATGCATCCTTCGTCATTCAAAGCAGAGCTGAGGTAGCCCATTTTGCATAGTTTGCATGCTAGTTTAGTTAATTTGTTAATTAGCTAGTGTTGTGTAATAATTAGTTAATTCAATTCTGTATTATTTATTCAGACCCTCTAAGAGAGGGCAATGTTGTAATAAGTGTGCGTGTGTGTAATGTATGTCTTCCAACCCCACGTCTTTCTCCCTTTTATTTACTAGCTTTTGATGGTTAGTTTTAGGGCACATTTCAATTAGCATCCTTATGCTCGCATGTTCGCATCCATTCATCTGTCTTGCATGCACCGGGCTCGGCGCATCATACTAACTGCATTGTATTTCAATTCCAAGTCGAATACATGTTATCTGTAACATCTCATATGCCATTTTAGAAAAGCCGAGCCTATCTTAGTTGCATTTTCCATGTGTTGCATTAGCCATCTTAACATGAACTAGGATCATGCATTGATTACTAACGAGTTTCTATTTTGGCTTGGATTACTCGGTGAGTGTTTATGCTTTAGCATCCTTGCATGTGTGTGAGTGACTGCCATGATAGCATGCTTGCCATGAGGCTAACTGCTTGTGTGATATACCTGCCTGAATGCCTGTGGGTAAAGGTTGGATTATTTAAATTAGAACAATTCATCGATTGCGAGTTTTAAGCCCACTTGAGAGTGGCAAACCACCATGTTTTCTAAGCCCACTTGAGGGTGGCAAAATTCGCATTTTAGCCTACTTGCGAGTAGCAAACCGCTTTAAAAAAAACAACACATGAGATGTTTTGTTCCAACTTAGATGATCCAGTCTATACTTGTTTGCTGTGCGCATCACATAGTAATTTTAGGTTAATAACCGGAATAAGAACGCATGTGTTTTCAAAAACTCGATATCATGTTTAGTAGTGGCCGATCTTTGATCGGGCGAGCAGGGGTGCTCATTGTATGACCTTCCCCAATCGTACCCAAGTTCCGGAGCCGAGGCAACTTTGGTGATGACGGACATGTGGTCTTAGGCACGAGTCAGGGTTTCCTAAATTCCCCCAAAATAAAATATTTAGGTGGCGACTCTATATCTGGCGGAGCAGTCCATGTTTGGCACTTCTTTCTAAAAATCAGTTTTTCAAAACGATTTGCCAGATTTGGACTCTTTGCTGATTTATTGGCCTCGCATTGCACTTTGCGGGATTAGATTCAGAACCGTGACATTTGAGTCCGAACTGTAGTAAGCCCAATGAACAAAACGAGATTTTTTTCCCGGGACGTTCGAGGGCGTCTACACCCTCCGAGCTATAGGACCACATACCTCTCGCATCATATTTAGTAATGGTTCCCTAGGAATAACATTAGGAACAACAAGTTGAGCTACTAATTGATAAACCAACTGAGTTCTGGAATTACAAAGTTAATATACTTCTATGAAATGTAAGTGCAATGCATGAAAGTAAAGTGTTGAAATGTAAAGATAAATGAAATTAACAAAAACGTAGAGTCTAGATTTGTTTGAGGCTTTCTTACTTTTTGCTTCTATCTATTTATAGTCTTCATTTGGTGCCTTCAAAGTAGTTGAGTTGATTTTTCTCACCATGATCTCTTTCTCTTTAGCTACTTCTGAGGGCCACTCTTTTATTTGAGTGTAGATAATCGCTTGTAACTGCTCCTTAAATAACTTCTCTCGTACGTGCCTTCCACGTGTGGTTTAAGAGATCAACTAGTTGAAATCTTGCACTCACGGCTCACGTGAGTAGCTTCGAAAGTAAGATCATTTCAATGATTTTTTATACTCATGTGTTGCCCTTTGCTTACCATGTGTCAGCCTCTAATGGGTAGGTTTAAATATGGTACCAACAATATCATATACAAGTTATGACATTTGTGAGATTGATTACCACAAATGTTATAAGTGAATCCTTTTAGGATAACTATTTTTTTTTTTTGAGTTATAATTAAAATAATATCATAACCATCATCACAATGAGACAAAATTAACACCACAATGTGTATAACCAAGTCATAACTAATAGCATAATAAGTCATAACTAAAGACTACAAGTATTGTAACTGGAGACATACGGTACACACCCTAATAAGGGAGGTATATCATAGAATTTTATGTTTTTAAAAGGGTGTCGCTATTCCCACTCCACTTTACTCCAAATACGCTCCATTCTTTGTCCTTATTATATATAAAAGAGAATGTATTTGGCACAAAGTGAAGTGGGAATAGTAACAACATATAATAATGATAAAGAAGAGGGTGTATTTGGAGCAAAGTAAAGTAAGAATAGTATCTACGTATAATAAGGACAAAGAAGGGAGTGTATTTAGAGTAAAGTGGAATGAAAATAACAGCTCCATTTTGAAAAAGAGAAATTATAGATTAGTGGTAATAAAAAAATTATTTACAAAAAAGTGAAAAAGTTTATGATTTTAATTATGGGCAAATTACCTGGAAGTCTTTTTTGAAAGAGGAGAAGTCTATATAGTCCCACAACCTTTTTGATACTCTCAAAAGTTCACTATGTATTTTTCTTCTTTATTCTTCTCTGCACATTCGTTCTTCTCTGCTCCATTTTTTTCCTGATTTCCGGTGACCACACCTTGTTTCTTCTCTTTCTCTTTTTGATATATAGTTATCAGCAACTGACGACTACCATTGATTGGGATTCACGGGCAACCACCGACCACTAATTCCTTACTTTACACTCACCGACGGCGAATGAGACGAGTTTTTGGCAGAGAAGATGAGTAGATCTACTCAGATCTACATCAAATCTGAATAGATCTATACTATATCCGCCTAGATGTAAACCAAAAATAGTTATTAGAGTACAATCTTCTCTCTATATCTGTTTCTCTCATTTGATCACTTAATTTTCTACATTTTCTCTACTATACACTTCTATTTCCCTATTTTAATGGAGAAAATTTTTAAGTTCTGAATAAGTTGTTTTCGAATTTTAGTTATAAGCGATGAAAACTGTAAAATTTAATAGTTTCAATTTTTTTGGTACTGAAATGAATCATGCTTTAAAACTGTAAAATTTTGCAGCTTTATAACATTCTTTAGAATTGAAAAATTTTGTAGTTTCATAACATGTTTTTCATTTTGATTAATAAGGACAAATACTTAATAGAATCATATTTTGAAATTGCAATCTTTTACAATTTTAAAATTTATTTTCAGTTTGATTAATATTGAAGATTATTTGCTTAAACCTACAAAAATTGAAAAATAACATATATATTTTTTCTCATTATTGCTGTTTGATGTTGTTATATATATTTTTTTCTTTTAGTTTATCAATATTTAGCACATTTTGTTATTTTTTTTGCTCTAATTTCTCCACTTATTCTTTTTCTTTTTTTCCAGCAATAATTTGGATATTCTGGTAAGTCTTCAATGATATTTTTAACTTCCAGCAAACATTTTGGATATTCCGACGACTTTCAGTGACATTCAGAACACTTCGGCTAACTTTCGGCGAACTTCTGGCGATACTCCTACGGCCTCTAATGATGATGAACATTCTGATGAGTTTATAGTGGCTGTCTGACGAAAGTCCGACGGTGATGAGCTGTGATAGCATTTTTAAATTTATAAAAAAAAATATAAGATATTTTGGTAGTAAATAAAAAATATGTAGGACTAATTGGTATAAGTATTTTATTTTAAAATTAGATGAATTTGAAAATTTGTATATGAAACTTATTAGTAAGGGGCCCTTTAATTATTAATATTTATAAGGTTTGTCAATTTTGTGTGAAGTATTTTTTTCTGATTGATGTGTAACAAAATTGTGGAAATGCCAGGTAAATGGGCCAAGTTTATCATCCAAGCCCATGTTTGAGATAGGCCCATTTTACGATCGAAATATCGAATGTGGAGGCCAGGGCAATTATTAGGGTTTCGGTGGTGACGCTGCAGAGCAGAGGAGGGCCGTTGCTTCTTCGCCATTAAAGGTGAGCAGAGAAAGGTGTGTTTTCTTTATTTTTTGGACAAAATTTTCATTGCACTTGGAAGTTGTTATTGAAGTCCTGATAAGTAAGTTGAAGAAGAAGATTTTGAACATTTTGACGGAAACCCTAGGGAAGGGAAGGGAATGGAGGAGGAGTCGCCAACAACAACAGCAACTCTTGGGAAGCGGAAAGTAACAGAAAAGGAGGAGGAGGATCGGGAATCTGCATCGAAACGTCGTAATTTGGCTCGAACATGTGTGCACGAGGTTGCTGTTCCAAGTGGGTACGCATCCACCAAAGACGAGTCTATTCACGGGACATTGTCAAATCCTGTTTATACTGGGGAGATGGCAAAAACCTACCCGTTTGATCTAGACCCCTTTCAGCAAGTTTCAGTGGCATGTTTAGAACGAAATGAATCGGTTCTGGTTTCTGCCCACACTTCAGCCGGGAAAACTGCTGTTGCTGAGTACGCAATTGCAATGGCTTTTAGAGATAAACAAAGGGTTATATATACTTCGCCCTTGAAAGCTTTAAGCAACCAGAAGTATAGAGAGCTAAACCAGGAGTTCTCGGACGTTGGGTTGATGACCGGTGATGTTACACTATCTCCCAATGCAAGTTGTTTGGTCATGACCACAGAAATTCTCAGGGGAATGCTTTACAGAGGTTCTGAGGTGTTGAAGGAAGTTTCTTGGGTTATATTTGACGAAATACATTACATGAAGGATCGGGAAAGAGGGGTTGTTTGGGAAGAGAGTATCATATTCTTGCCTCCGGCTATTAAGATGGTTTTCCTTTCAGCAACAATGTCCAATGCTACCGAGTTTGTGGAATGGATATGTAATTTGCATAAACAGCCATGTCATGTGGTGTATACTGATTTTCGACCAACACCTCTACAGCACTATGTGTTCCCTATGAGTGGCTCAGGGTTGTATCTTGTTGTGGATGAGAATGAGCAATTTAGGGAGGACAATTTTATGAAGTTGCAGGATACTTTCACGAAGCAGAAGCAGAAGCAGGGCGATGGGAACAAGAGTGCCAATGCCAAGGCCAGTGGCAGAATTTCGAGAGGCGGGAATACCTCTGGTGGTTCTGACATATACAAAATTGTCAAGGTGCGCAATATGTTGGGAATTATTTCTGCTCTATGTTCAATTGTTATTCATGTCAAGTTCTAGTTATTTTTATCATTTCTTATTTCATTGCGATGTCATGCTTCAATTTATGCTCGTTAACTTGTAATTATTCCCCTTATTGTATGTTATGACTTCTATTGTTCTCTGGTCCTCTTTTTTGTTTGCTTTTTTATCTTGATTTTTCTTTTTGAGTTTTTGTTTATTTTCCTCGTCCTTTACTTTGTTTGTAGCACAGTTGTCATGGATCATGTATTGTTTTTTAACGCTGATAGCAAATATTGCTCCATATTTCAGATGATTATGGAAAGGAAATTTCAACCAGTCATAATTTTCAGCTTTAGTAGAAGAGAATGCGAACAACATGCAATGTCCATGTCTAAACTTGATTTTAATACCCCAGAGGAGAAGGATGTTGTTGAGCAGGTTTTCCAAAATGCAATACTATGCTTGAATGAGGAGGATAGAAACTTACCTGCTATCGAGCTGATGTTGCCATTGCTTCATCGAGGCATTGCTGTTCATCATTCTGGACTTCTCCCTATTATCAAGGAATTGGTGGAACTTCTCTTCCAGGAAGGCCTTGTAAAAGCACTTTTTGCCACAGAGACAGTAAGATTATTTCTGATAACAGCTTGTTTTCTATTATATGTGTGTATATATATATATATATTGGTGTGGATAAGCTACAACAGTTCATTTTTTAAAAAAACAAATTTTGATACTGGAGCTATCGTTCTCACTCATATCTTATTGAATATTAGACTGCGGTAACAATTTGCTTTGGTTGTAATCTTTTACAGTTTGCTATGGGTTTAAACATGCCTGCAAAAACTGTTGTTTTTACCAGTGTTAAGAAATGGGATGGAGACAGTCATCGTTACATTGGATCTGGTGAGTATATCCAGGTGAGTGAATACCACATCATTTCATGAAGCTTATATTGCAACGGATTTTTCTCAGTTTTTAATTGTCAATGCTGTTGTGTGATTTCATGCAGATGAGTGGAAGAGCCGGTCGCCGTGGCAAAGATGAGCGTGGTATTTGTATTATAATGATTGATGAGCAGGTAATGTAAAGGCTTATAGTCACTCCTTGTATTTATCACTAATTATATCGATCACTATCTTCAAGGTGAATATTCAACTTCATCGCACTCTTACACAAACCAATTAAAATAAAAGTAAATTCTATCATGATGTTTTCTATTCTGAAGTAGCCAGTAATGGCAGTTACAAGGAGTCTTTTAGTTCCTTTAGCATCCACTGCATTGTTATTTTGAATCAAGGATATACCCCTTTGTGCTTATGCTCTGAATCAAGCTTTGTTTTGCCGTAAGAAAATTATTCCTTGCCATAATGTACAGTGTACACATACAACAAACATATTTTCAATACTTGTTCTGTTTCATTTCAGATGGAGATGAATACCCTCAAGGACATGGTTTTGGGTAAACCAGCTCCATTGGTCAGTACTTTTAGACTGAGCTATTACTCAATTTTGAATTTAATGAGCCGTGCTGAAGGCCAATTTACTGCTGAGCATGTTATCAGGAATTCGTTTCACCAATTTCAGTATGAAAAGGTTTCCTCCGAAACACAAATTTTAATCTATTCCATTACTATGTATATAATGATGACAATCTCTGATTGTGCCTCCTCTTCAGGCTTTACCAGATATGGGGCAAAAGATTTCGAAGCTTGAAGAGGAAGCTGCCATGCTCGATGCCTCTGGAGAAGTAATATGGACCCCGTATTTTCTGGCATTGTTGTTTTGATTGAATTCCATTTTGCAACTTCTCTATTTCATAATTGTAGGTTGAGGTTGCTGAATATCATAAACTAAAGCTAGATATAGCCCAGCTTGAGAAGAAAATGATGGCAGAAATAACAAGGCCTGAAAGAGTTCTTTATTTTCTTCTCCCCGGTAGGCTGGTATGTTCTGAGAATGGTCATTTAACTGACTTTAAATTGCAATCTTTAATAAATCCTGCTTATTTCTGACTTCTGATGATAGTATTTATTAACTAACATGTTCTGGTCCATATCTGTGACTTCTGTAATGCATTAGAATTTCATTTAATTTCTGTTAGATGTCGACCTGTTTATTACATGAGCTAGGCAATGTTTTCAGTCAAAGTAATGATTTAATAATTTAATTTACCAAAAGAGATACTGTTTGTTGATATATTTGCACGATATTCACCTGCCCATGCTCATATTAAAGGTTGTTTCCCCTTCTGCCTTTTTATGTATTAGACATCTTTTTTTTGCACTCCTTTCTTTCTTTATGAAATGAATTGGTGGTATTATTGGTGTTGGGACTGTTGTTTTTGCTGCTTCTACATCGAATCTGGCTGAAATTACTTCCTATATCACAGGTTAAGGTACGGGAAGCTGGAACAGATTGGGGTTGGGGAGTTGTAATTAATGTGGTTAAAAAGCCCCCAGCAGCATTAGGCACTTTGCCCCCTGCATTATCTTCTTCACGTGGTATTAGCTATATTGTGGATTCTTTGCTTCATTGCTCTATTGGTTCAAGTGAAAATGGTTGTCGTCCAAAGCCATGTCCACCCCGTCCCGGAGAGAAGGGTGAAATGCATGTGGTGAGTTGAATCTCCTGCTAGAAAAAATTAGTAATAGTCTGTTCATTATGCTTATTATGAGGTAGTTCAACTGGGAGTTTTGCAAATAAATATTTAGAAACATTATCTAGAGGAAATGATGTCTGTTGTTCCATTCTTTAGGTTCCTGTACAGTTGCCCTTAATTTCTGCCCTTAGCAAAATCAGAATATCGATCCCTTCTGATCTCCGGCCAGTGGAAGCAAGGCAAAGTATACTTCTTGCTATACAGGAGCTTGAAAAACGTTTCCCTCAAGGTCTTCCAAAGCTTAATCCTGTTAAGGTATATGCAAAATAGTTTTGGATGCACCATTTTTATTTTATTTTATTTAATCATGGATACTTGTGACACAGCTTAGCAGTAAATTAAATGTAAATTGAACCGTTAAATTGGTAGTTAGGGATGGCAATTAAATCCGACCTGAGCCTCCTCCGATCCGTCCCCGCCCCGTTGGTGGTAGATTTCTTTCATTTTATCGGGTTTGGGGCAGATATGGGGAATTATTTTTCAAAACCTGATCGAGGTGAGGGCGGGTTAGGGATACCCGACTCCATCCCAATCCCAATCCCCATCCCCGTTTTGTTTTTGTAAAATAAAATGTATCTCTCTCTCTCTCTATTAATTTCACTCCGAACCTCTGCGTTACCCTACCCAATAAAAGAAAATCCTCTCTTTTACTTTTTGTCATTATTCTTCACTTCTTGTCTTTTTACTCTCTCTCTCTCTCTCGCAGAGAGGCACGTGCTTTTTCCGCTCTATTTTTATGCCTGAATCTTATCAAAGAGGTGCTCTTTTTTTCTTTTCAATCATTTTTTTTTCTTCCCTTTACGTCTTGTTTTCTTTTGATTTTATTGGAAAGAAGGATCCATGTAGCTGACCCTATTTGATGGGACTTAAGGGTTGGTTTGGTTTGGTTTGGTCGTATAGTTTTGGAGACGTGGACGAGGCAGAGAACATACAATCCATTAGGGGGTACCCCCCCAACAAAAATTGCCACGACCATACTTAGTGCCCATCATAGGGAATTATTTAAGCTAGTCATTGGGGGTGTCAAAGGGTTTTATTAGTAGTTTCTCTAGTGTTTTGCCTATGTGGGCATCTCGATTCTGGATATCTGTGCAAATTGAATGGCTCTTTTATTCCTAGCATTTAAAGGTGAAAATATATGGTCCAAAACTAGGGTCATTGAGGAAATAGGAGTCACTATTAAAATTTAATGGCATGGTGTCGGTTTTTCTTGAAATGACATTGTTTAATTTTCTAGCATTTTTTATGATGTCTAGTAGGATATGTTGTGGCTTCACACAATCATGGGTTACCTAATTGGATGGTTATGTGTAACACATGGAGCCATTTTTGTATTTGATTGGTATTTTACAGTAACTGTGAGGTGCACTGTTGACAGATTTTGATTATAGCTACATTTAGTTGTTCTCTTTGACTGTCTCAGTAACCTGTTAAACCCTTCCTACGTCCCTTTAATACAAAACTTTCCTTGCTACCATTGTCACAATTCTGTCTGCATATTAATGTGTGGTTGCCACTTTTATTATTTTAGTATTCAGTGACCAGCACCCAAAAAAAAAACAAAAAGGAAAAAAGAAAAAGAACGAGGAAAAAGAAATAGTATTTTGGTTCTCTTATACGCATTTTATCCTTTTTTGTGCCTTATAATAATTTTTCTAGTATTTCAAAGAAAATTTCTTAGTGATATTCTAGTGGTGCTTATTTGCTTTGAGATAAATATGAGAGAAGTTAGAGTTTTGTGAAATTATTGATCATGATTGGTGGTGTTATTTTTCTTTAACATTTATGCTTCCTTGGTAGGACATGGGCATTGAAGAGCCAGAATTTGTTGAGTTGGTCAATCAAATTGAGGAGCTTGAGCAAAAAATATTTGCACATCCTCTTCACAAGGTTAGGCAAAATAAATTCTGTTAGATGTTGACCTTATTTCTGTTACTTTTCTAAAGGTGGTTAGGAATTACACCATAGTGCTACCCATTCTTCCTAATTGGCAATTTTGTTGGCTGTTCACTCTGCTACTCTGTAATCATATTTTTCATTTTGCAGTCTCAAGATGAACATCAGATCAGATGTTTCCAGAGGAAAGCGGAAGTCAATCATGAAATTCAACAACTAAAAGCAAAAATGCGTGATTCCCAGGTTTTTATTCCATTGCTTAATGCACTTGAGCTTCAAACACGACTCCAGGGCTCCATATTCATGTATGACTCACTCAAACACGCAAGAACACTCCCAAACACTTGTATTTGAAGTTAGATTCAACCCATTGTTCAAAATTCCATGAATTCATCAAAATTCAAACCACAAACTTCTTGTATGTAAAATTCATGTTTTATATCTTGCATGTACAAGCTTCAAGACTCAAAATTGGGCTTCAAAACATGGCAATTCATGCATGCATGTGTCAAACAACTCTCAATTCAATATGATCATCATGGTTTATGCTCAAATATGAGAAATCACAATAAATTCATGCATGCATGCCTAAGTTGATCTTCAATTCAACACATTTAGCTCAATTCTTATACTTAACTACACATTCTTCTTGAATTCACAATTAAATGACTTAAATCCATGAATTATAGTTCAAACACTTACCTATAAACTTCAATGAGGCTAAGTTTGACAAATTCTTGTGTCTAGCTTTCAAAATCTTCAGTCACCAAGTCAAGTCTTCAAGAATTTGGTCCTCTCTCTAAATTGATCTCTCTCTCTCTCTCTCTCTCTCCCCCCTTCTCTTGGCAGTTTTTTGAGTTCAAAATGAGCTTAAACACTTGAATTAATATATATATATATATATGCTTAACTAATCTTATTGGCTAATCAAGGCTAGGCTTAATCAAATAGGCTTAGTTAAATCAAATTAATCTAATTAATTCGATCTGAATCAATTTTAATTAACTTTCACCGAAGGCTCTAAAAATTATGCTAATCATAATGATGCGGTCAATTTCGGTTTTTATCGCCTCTATGGCCTTCAATTTATGTTTATTACCGAATACCGAATAAATTTTCTTATGATGAACAGATATGAATTCAAAAACATACATAATCACATGATTAGCATCTAAATTCACATTAAGTACATAATAACAAGTATAATTACGACTTAATAGTATAATATAGAACAGAGTTGTCACAACCACCCTACTATCGCCACCCTATCACGATACCACCACCTACAACTGGTGCCACCACAACTATCACCATACCATTGTCACCTATTGCCTCCGCAACCCTACCATCATCGCCACCACCTACCACAACCACCTATAATAATCGCCTGCCATTGTTGCCGTTATCACAACCACCACCCTACCACCTACTATCGTCACCACCACCACCGTCGTCACACCCGCCACCCTACCACCACTACCTATTACCATCGCTTATCGCCACCCACGTTGCTGCCACTGCAACAACCACAACCCTATCATAACCACCTATTACGATCGTTTACCACTGTTGCTGCTGCCATAACCACCACTACTTTTTACCACTGCCTACCACCGCCTACCACAACCACTCTATTGTTGCCACCACCACTACCTGTTACCGCCACCTACCGCCAGGTCAACCCAATGGCCACCACCTTACCACCGCACATATCACCACCGCCGCCACAAGCCAAACCTTACCACCACCACCATACCATATGAAACTACAACCATTGTTGATTCCACCACCATCGCCATCACCATCACCATCACCATCACCACTCACACCACCATTTCCACAACTATTATGATCTGCACATTTAGATTGGTTGTTACTAGTGTGAGAAAATATAATTAAATTTTTTTATTCCATTCCATTCCATTAGTCTGATGAGTATTTTGAAACATGAGTTTGAGAATTGCCATTCCATTCTTATGCCATTCCATGTTAACAACCAAATGGTGGAATGGGAATGAACATTTCATTCCATTCAACTTTCTGTTTTATTCTCTCTCTCATTCCATTCCCATTTCATTTGATTCCATCGCACCAAACATGCTCTAAGATCCATCATATGCAAAGTTAAAAAATTTAAAATTTAAAATCACTAAAGTGAGATATATTTAACACCACGTGTTCATATACGATGTTATACTCACCACAAGATTTCCAACTCCACGAGATCGAGTTATGCCATCTGTTTTTGGTAACAAAGCTAAGGTCTATATGTACCCCTATATCATAAAGAAATCAACTTCACCTGTCTGTATAATCAACTTCATTCGTATGTAATTGCGACTTTGGACCTACTTTGGCATGGTTTTTGAGCTTCAAATAATTTTGACCATAAATACCTCACGTCTACTGTAACGCCGTAAAATTTTATAAGATTTGGGTGTATAGTTTATTATAATGAATTTCTTAAGATGACACTATTTTTTGGAAAAAAAGTTGTGCATGAATCACAAGTTTGTACGTACATTTGACATGATTTTTTAGCTTCAAATACTCTGAAATTTGGATCACAAGACCTCTTATATTTCTAATGTAATGCTGTAAAATTTCATGAGCTTTGGATTCATATCTTATATTTAATGAATTTTCACTGCTGGAAATTGGGTAGATTGCCCAAACTGTTACATTTTCGTATTAATCATGACCTTAGTTGCAGAAATCGTGCAACCAGTTGGCGATTCTGAGTAAGAATCGCGATTCCGCGGAGAGAGAGAGAGAGACCTGGACGCGCCGTCGACTTCGACCTTCGCTCTAGCTCTAGCCCTAGTCCTAGTCCTAGCCTTTGACGTCGACATGTGCTCTAGCCCTAGCCTTCCCCTTAGCCGTCGACGTCGACCTTTGCTCTCGCCTTCGATCTACCCGCGATTGCCTTCGTCTTTGCCTTCTCTCTCCCTCACTCGCGCTCTCTCTCAGTGTTATCAGAGGCGAGCCTAAGTGCTAAGCGAGGCGAGGCGAGCCTTCAGCGCTTCATGCGTCCTGAGGCAAGGCGAAATGGTGAGGCGACTCAGAAGCGAGGCTTAGGCGATGAAGTGTGAGGCGGAAAGAAGCGGCGCTTCATCGTATTTTTGCCTGATTTAAGTTCGAAACATCTGGGCCCTTGATCGACTTCGTTCGAATCATGTGGGCCCTTGATCGACAAAGTTAATTACGAAATAAGAAGCCAAACCCGAGATCGACTTGGTGGAGTGCATCGTCTGCCGAAGTCGAATCGAAGCATCTGGTCTTCTTCTGGTCTTCTTCTGCCGAAGTCGAATCGCCTGGGTCTGCTTCTTCCTTCTTTGGACGTGGTGAGTTGCTTCTTCTACTTTCTTCTTCCTTTCTTCTTCTTCCTTTCTCCTTTGTTCACTGTCGGACCTGTTTGACTTCACCTGTTCTTTGTTCGACTTTGACTTGAAGAAGAAGAGCACTGTCGAACACTGTTCGACTTTGAATTAATTCATTTTTTTTTAAAATTAATTTTTAATTCGCAAAAATTAATTTTTAAAATTAATTCAATTATTTTAAAATTAATTTTTTTTCAATTAATTCAATTATTTTTTTTCTTCTGTGTTCAATTAATTCAATTATTTTTCTGATTATTTTAATTTCTTGGTTATTCAATTAATTATTTTAATTCAATTAATTTGTTTAATTCAATTAATTCAATTAATTTGTTTAATTCAATTAATTTGTTTATTTTAATTCAATTAATTTCCTGATTATTCAATTAATTATTTTAATTCAATTAATTTGTTTATTTTAATTCAATTAATTTAATTCAATTAATTTCCTAGTTATTTTAATTTTCTGGTTATTCAATTAATTATTTTAATTCAATTAATTGTTTAATTCAATTAATTCAATTAATTTGTTTATTTTAATATAATTAATTTAATTCAATTAATTTGTTGGTTATTTTAATTTTCTGGTTATTCAATTAATTATTTTGATTCAATTAATTTCAACTATTTTAATTTCTTTACGTTCTTTAATGTTGTTAAAATATTTATATTTTTGTCTATACGATTTATTTTAAAAAAATATCATTTCTGGTCGCCTCGCTTCGATGAAGCCCTTGCCTCGCCTCGTCTCCTCACGCTTAGGCGTTAGGTGACCTTGTCGCCTCGGTTCGCTTTTCGCATTAAAAAACACTGCTCTCTCTCTCTCTTTGGCCTACTCACGATCTATATAATATAAGTAATATATATATATATATATATAAGATAAAACATATATAAGATTATATATATATTATACATATTAATAAAAAAACACAAACACATATATGTACAATAAAAAAAAAAATTAACAATAACACATTATTAAAAAAATATAATAAATAAATAAAATAATTAATGTGTATTAAAATAAAAATATTTATAAAACAACTTCTAATGTGCATTAAAAAATATATATATATATATATATTACCGCTCCCTGAGGCACTCCCAACCTAAAAAATTTCTATTGGCTCACGCTTCCTCGCACGAAGCAGGAGCGGGGGTCCTGCTTCGTGCAACTAAGATCATGACTATAATTGTGAGGGAAGATGATGGAGTTAGGAGAGGTGCTGTGATATGCTCTGGTTGCGAGAGGGTTTGGGCATAGGTGCTTAGGGGTGATGGGTCTGAGGGATGTTACTCTTGAACATCGTGATTTTGCATAGGGTTGTTGGGCAATTCTATTTCCACACTGCACTTTATCTTAATACATACCATTTGTGCCGTTGGATATCAACTTTTGAACATAAAACAAATGTTCGGATATCAACTTCCGAACAAAAATCATTTGTTCGGATGAACATGGTTTTTGTTCGAATGATTAAGTTTTGTTTAGAAGTTAATATATGAATAATTTATTTTTGTTTGGAAGTTGATATCTGGACAACAAGAATGGCGTGTATTTAGATTAAGTGTGGTGTGCGCGAATATAATAAATCAGTTGTGTTGTATACATGTTGCAATAACTTTATGATGAGTGCGAGTTAATAGGAAGAGGCATTGTGTTTAATTTTCAAATTTAATCTGGCAGGAGGTACTAATGTTTGCATTAAATCTTTAACATATGTTTTCTAGTCATAAAAGTAATGATACTTGAGTATTGTTCTATACTGCTGAAATTGTTGCAATGATGGCATAGTTCTAAATGTGTTTTTGCACAACATGATAATTATATATATATGTGCATATGAAATTTATTTTTATTTA